ACTATCACAATGTTTTACTATCATGATATTAAATTTTTTTGTGATTTTTTTTCTTTTTTAACGCACATACTCATAGCCCCGCACTAGCAAAACCCTGTGTCGCAGGTACTATGGACACAAACATAGACAACCACAAATTACACCCAAAGTCACGAGAGAAATAAATGTGGGCCATGCGAATATTTCTCTCGGCTCGGGAATCGAACCCAGGACCTCTGCGTGGCAGTCCAGCATGGTAACCGTTCGGCCACGGAGGCAGTTCTACATTACTCCACTTAGTTTGTTATAATTATTAATACAAAAATCAAACACAGAAAAATTCATTCTATATCTACGGCGGGATTCGAACCAGAATTTTTCTACGTGCTTCTTGCAGATCTTTTTTGTTTTTTGTAATGACTTTTTATGCTGTAGCGTCATCTGTGAGAAATCCATGAAAATTTTTCTTCACTCAGGCAGGTACCTTTATAGCTACCAGCGTCTGACTAGTTATGTCGCTTTATAATTGTAATATGAAGTTAATTTTTTTTAAAGCACACACTCATAGCCCCGGGAAACTCGCGGGTGCCATGGACACACACGCATAGACAACCACAAATTACTCACGAGAGAAGTAAATGTAGATCATACAAATATTTCTCCCGACCCGGGAATCGAACTCGGGACCTTAGCCTTCCGTTCGGCCAAAGAGGCAGTTTGTTTTATTATCATGATATTAATTTTTTTTGTTAAATTACTCCACGAGTTTGCTATAATTAATATTTTAATATTTCAGCCTGAATGTTGATCATAATCTAGTCCTTTGCAACGTAGTTATATATCCTACACGCGTCTTATTTTGTAAAACGACATGCTTCATGTGCCAAAATAACCAAAGTCATGCGTGCCTAATTATAACGAGCAACAGTAGGTGTTTTCCGCCATTGAATTTGATACTATAAACATTGCATGAATCTCTTTCGGAGTAATTTTAAAGTGGATTTTGTTTATCCGTTTCAGTCCATTCAGTTTTTTTTGTCATCGATCTTTTTTGTGTATAAACAGTATGCCATATTGAGTTGTTAGGTTTTCGCGATTGTTACACATAGGAAATGAATCTATTTAAATTGCGTATGTTTGTTTTTTCTAAACAAACCAACGTTTCTGGGTTTAATAGGAAGCTACACGCCTGTCCATAACAGTTGCAGTGCCACTCTAAACTTTGTATCGCAAAGATATGACGGGCATTGCCACTGCGCCTGTCACCCTGAGACATAAGTTAAAAAGTCCCATATGCCTGTAATTTCACCAGTAATTCTCACATTACTGCTTAACGGCAGAAGTAGGTAAGGTGTCCCTACTTTTAACTTTTAGCAGAATGTCTAGGAGCCCAGGTATTATGGTAACCATGTCGTAGTCGTGGTTCCACGATAACCATGACATATTTAGAGCACTTTCAAACTAGCCAACTCCTCAATCATTTTATAGTGGAAATATCGTCTTTGGACTCGTTAAACGGATTATTCTGGCTTTTTGGCGTACATTGTTTTGTATTGTTTTAAAAATGAAACTATTTTTCCGGATTTAAATATAGTGAAAAAATAAAGTGGTTTGCATTAATATTAGACGTAACTGGCTGATGACTTTATCATCTCAGTCAACCGTGACAAAACGTGAAAAAACAAATATACGCGATTTAAATCCGGGAAAATACTTTCATTTCCTATGTTTCTATCTATATTTAGTGTCTAGAAATTTTTAATTATCCACGTATTACATTGTAAGGAGAACACAAGATACGACCTAGCCCGTGACGTAAAAAATTGCAGCGTGCCTGGAAGTTTAATTTTATTTATTTAGTAATTTATTTCAGGCCACACAACCCGTATAATATATACCTTAAGGACTAACATACGTACAATATAATAAACTAATAATTACTCTACACGAACTGCACTTGTCGGCAAAGTGTGACGCAATCTGGTGTCAGGTAAACAGCCGCAGAAACGCCGATACACGTCACCTTTGGGCCAAAACCCCTCCTTCATGAAGGTCGACAGAAGTTAATGGTTTAAAATCAGATTCATCCCTTATTTCGATGACCTACGGCTCTGAGACGTGGTCACTTACTATGGGCCTCATAAAAACGCTCAAAATCACTCAACGAGCTATGGTGCGAGAATGCATTTCTCTAGCTAAAGTCAAAATTAAATAATCATTTATTCCATAGGTAAATTGTTTACACTTGAAAACGTCATTTTTTCAGCTACTGCTCGTTCTCTACGCTGACCTCCCTGAGAAGAACGAGCAAGAAACTCTAGGGGTTGCTCTTTTCAAATAAACTTAAATGCCAGAGTATACATTTTGAATCATATTTGTGTGGAATCTAGACTCACGTTGTCTTTCCATTCCATATTTTTACGGGCATACAAAATATTTGAGTAAATGTACTGTGATGCCACAGTCATGCTACCAGTCTCCTTAAACTTTTCTCTGAGAGAAACCCGAGAACCTAAACGGTGCACAGAACGAATCGCTCGTTTTTGCAACACAAATATGGTTTGTATGTCTACGCCATCGAATCGGAAATGAGGAGATCCGTAAAAAGAACGAAAGTCCTTTGAGGTAATCCTTCGATCAGCAAGTTGAAGTGTCAGTAGAACTCCTTGTGAAAGAGTTCGTCGAGGGTATGCTAGCATTACTGTTTTCTGGTTTTGAAAGGTAAGGGTGCTGGTGAAATTACAGGCACTTGGGACTTGTCAACTTATGTCTCAAGGTGGCGGACGCAGTGGTAGTGCCCCTCAAATCTTTGCAATTTAAAGCTCTGAGTGGCACTGTAACAGCTTTCGTTTTGCGGCAACTAAGTGTTGGAACGATCTTCCGCCGCCAGTAAAAATATGTAAATCGTCATATACTTTCAAGTGTAAGTGCAAGGAATGGCTGCTTAATCTATAGAAGACATCATACTGTTGGTCGAAGGTGATGTAGGCTCTGTTACGTCATTGAAAATAATAAAAGTAGGATTATAATTGGAATTAAAGATGTACTAACTCTATATTTTTTTCTCTATATTTGTTGTATTCTATGTACACAGTGAAATACTCTTTGCTGCTAAGTGCAGTATGTTCGGTGGTCGGTACGTATGTCATTTTAAGTTTTAAGGTTTGTTATTTATGTAGTAAACGTTTATAGTGAGTGAGATACCCTCCTATTTATTTATTTATTTATATATGTATTCGAAAAGATACCCGTCTCTATATGCTACGGTGTCTCCAGCGGCGAATACTTGCCAGGTGAAGCCTGAAAACCAGCAAATTGCTGAGGCTTTTTCCTTTTCTTCGACATAGATTTAAGAATTGTTTTATCTTAAATATTGTTGTGTTTTCTGTTGAAGAATAAAGTCTTTTTATTTATTTTTTTATTTATTTTTATGGACAAGGTTCTCGAATGGAGAACACGAACCGGAAGGAGTTCAGCGGGACGGTCCTCTACTAGATGGACGGATGGTAAGGGCGGCGGATAACCGATGGATGCACGTCGCGTCCGATCGGTTAGTCTGGAATCCTTTGGGGAAGGCTTATGTTCATCATCGAAATTGGTTCACAAATTTCCATGTAATTCAAAGTGAAATCGTTTCTTGCATAGGTAAAACAAATTAAACTTGATAACGTCATTTTTTAAGCTACTGCTCCATTCACTGTGCAGACTTCCCTGAGAAGAACGAACAAGAAACTGTAGGGTGCTCGTTTCATATAAACTTAATTGCTTTGAAATACACTTTGAATATGAATCATATTTTTCTGGAATCTAGACTCATGGCGTATTACCGCATATCTTTATGTAACACATAGTCTTCAATTTTGTAATATACCTTTCAAATAAAATACTTTAAATGTATGTAATGGCGTAACATACAAAGTAACTCCTCCTTTTTTTAAAGTCGGTTAAAAATAGTGACAGACGTAATATTTATACAAGGACTGAATTTGGACCGAATGTTTTTGACAGTGGTCTTAATTCGTAATAAGATTTCTGGTGATTTTTTAAATTTGTCATTTGCGAGATTTAACTAACCAAGTATTTTAAAGGTTTTTATACATTTTTTTCGTACGTCAAAGACAAAAATATACGATAGTATCCGTTTGGTGTTTCAAATTGTTCCAAAATTGTTTTTTTATAAATATCAAAGTTAACAAGCGCTAGTGTTTCTATTCATTCTTACCAAAAGACGAATTCCTTCGATAAAAATTAATATGAATGATGAATGAGAAGTAGAGTGTTAGACGAACTATATGACACATTTGTTTTTATGTATCTATCACTTCAAATCAATTTGAACTTTTTTCTACAATAGGCAATAAGTAGTACTCTGCACCAAAAGTGCTCCTCCACCCGCTGCTCTTTCAGTGTGTCCTAACCTTACGGTACTATTTACTTACTAAAGAAACAAAGATATTTTGAATTGGATTCACATCGCTTGTAATTTCAATAAGTGCAATAAAGCGGGGGCGTTCGTAGTTGCCTATTACCTGTACAATGTAACGTTTTTCTAGATTTTTCTAGATCAAAATGTTTATTTATCTATAATATCAAAGCCAGTAAATCAACGTTCGTGATGTCAGTAGACTGAATCAGTTTTAAGTAAAGAAGGTGGTGTACGTTTAAAATATTCCTGTATGAACCTTGATACGGTAACGCATAATAATAAAACATTATCAAACAAGGTATAAATTGCAATGCTCTCAAGACCGACCTCGGAGCATTTCTCTCCGTATCGCAGAGCATTGAAATTTATACCTTATTTCAATTCCAATATCATATCCTATACATTAATAATAATGTCCTCGGCCTTGCCGTTCGTAGGTTTGCCAAAAGTCTGCTGGTGAAATTACAGGCACATGGGACTTGTCAACTTTATGTTTCAGGAAGATTTGAAGGTCTTACCACCAGGTCACGGTTTATTCGTTCTGTTAATTGATATCATAAAAAAGGCATTTAAATTTCAAAATAAAACTACTTACTTATCAGCGTGTCTGGAATCATTCGGTTCAATGACGTCGGCAATCTCTTCTATAACTTCGATTATCTCCTCTTCCGTCTCACTTTCACTCACTTCACTGTCACTTTCGCTTTCACTCACTTCCAAACTCTTAACACTTAAGTCATCCTGTTTGTCTGTATCTATGAAGCCACTGTCACTGTTGTCACTTGAGATTCGCTTGAGTTCGTTATCGTTTACATTTATAACAGTTCTATTGTCTGAGACTATGAAACCTCCTAACAACTCATCGTTATCTGGTATATTGCTTCCTATTATGTCGTCATTATCATGTATGTTATCTTCTAAATATTCTTCCTCTTCTTCTTCGTCAGTTATGGACTCAAAAGAAGATTCATCTTCATCAGTCTGACGGTCACCGTCATCAAAAACTATATGCTTTTGAAACGTGACCCTCTTTTTACCGCTATCTGATCTGTCATCGTCTGAACATCCTTCTGTATCTGATTTTGGCGGTTTTAAATTTGATTTTTTAATCGTGTTTGGCGATTCAATACTCAATGTTTGGGATTTATTATCTGCATTGTTTTCGTTTAACAATTTTTCTAATTCACCTTTCAAATTACTTTTATAATTTTCAATTGGTGCTCGTTCTTCAATAGTTTCGTACAATTGTTCTCGGCTATTATTTTTACTATCAGCACCTCCCATTTCTTCAGTAATTTTATCAATGGTACAATCAATACTTCTTGCTATTTCGCGTAATAAGGCTTCTGCATGTTGTTTCTCACTTAAATCCGGCGTAACATAAACTAAGGAGACATGCTTGTCTGTTTTGTCCTTAGGAGCGTATTTCTGTAGCACTAGAGCTTTTACAAACTCAGCCGAGTCGTCTCTCTGCTGTACCGCGTCTGAATTATTTTTGGAATCGTCCGCACATACGTTAGGTCGCTCCATATGCCGTGTTTCTCTCTCGCTTTTGCTCCTGTGCAACGTATTTTTTGTCTCTTTCGGAGGACTTATCCTTACCGATTCCGTTCTTCCAGATTTCCTTTTGTTTTTTCTCCGTTTTCCAGCCATAATGTCCAGGAACGCACTAACTCCAGTTTTCTGATTGTAGTCTGTTTCCGGTATAAGTAGATTAACTACATCTTTGCGTAATTTTGAGTTTTCGTTCGCGGTTACGTCATGGTCGAGTCGTGATGTGCTTGCAACTGATTCGATCGGGTTTTGCCGGGCGTTCTCGTCGATCTTCGGGAGCTTTTTCTTGAAGAAATTGAACATGTTTCTATTTAAATTGTTACTATAACATGACTGTTCTGTATCGCGTTGGATGGTGGACTGTGTGTAAATATATCTTCTCCAGTGGTTGTTTTTTTTATAATTTATTAACCTTGTGTGAAAAGCTAGAAAAAGTTTAATAGAAATGTAAAAAAGACAAGGTTGTCTTTGGACCTTGAAATTGTAGCGCTACTTTTAACATAAACGTTCGTGTTTTCAAATAAAGAAATTGATTCGTTATAACTTCGCAATAAAGTCCAAAATCAACTCGTAATAATACACATGCTATAGGTCTTAGTAAAGTGGTTGTCTGAAAAAAATAGTTACAATTTTACATTTGCGATGTTCTGCTTAGATTAAGAACTTTCACTAGTTTAAAGTGTCATGTGAATTACATGGATTACTTCCTTTCAAACTAAACCCTAAAATTATAACATTTTTTATTAAAAAACTAGCTTCAATAGTTTATGGAATTAGATACATATATTTCCCAAGTTTTATTAAAATTGGTTAACGGAAAGTTATAAACAATATTCCTCCCCTCATTAACCACCCTTAAAGGTGACATATTTTGTTCAAATTTAAGTGTGACCATTACTGAGGTACCCCTTATACACCCCCAAATCACTTAAAAAGTTTGCTTCAGGAATCTACAATTTCATTTTTTTACAAAGTGCTTATATTTCAAGTCCCGCCTTCGATGTTTCCTAAACAAATTAATTAGTCAATGGAAACAATAATTTTAAAAATAAAACTCGTGTTTTACAAATAAACTTACATATCTTATAAGTATAACCTTCAGTGGTCTACTCTTGCTTTTCGCTATCAACACAACATTGCAAGCTTTTTTTTAACATATAAATATATGCGCTTAAACGTTTTCTAAACTATTTTGTAAGCTTCAAACTATAAAGCGTTTAAATGAAAAACGTCTAAAAAAGCACGCTATTTAAAAAAAAAGTATGGGGGTAAGTAAATTAAATTTGTGTAACCGCGAAAATGGAGCTCATTTCGAGCAACTAATTAGTTAGATTACCTTTTTTTTCGTTTTATTAAAAATACGTTAAGATTTCATGGTTTTTTTTTTTCATTTAATTAACCAATTTTGTGAGAGAGATTTTATTCTTATAATTAACCCGAATTATCGATCGATGCAATAACAGTGCAGGGTGCATTTTTTTTTTTCAGATTAAAGAGGATTCGATTCCCGCGTGTTGCTAGACATTTTCGAAAATCTTTGAATGCAGTTTTATTTCTTTTAAAAAATAAAGGAATGTTTCCTTTAAGTAAAAATTTATATCTCTAGTATTTAGAGTACTTTCACTCCAGGTGGCATTATAAATTTCCACCCTGTATACTAGCTAGGCGCATAATTAGAATTCAGAAGTTAACGCATTTTAGCGATAATTGCGCAGGGTGTAATTTTCGTAACCAATTATTGTACAATGTAGGTAGGTTTTTTAACCGATTATTGTACAAAGGTAGTTACCACAATATTGGATACCTAGGTATCCACAATACAAGATATCCGATATTGGGGTACCTACATCACTTGTTGTACAGTGTTTTTCATATTTAAATGTTTAGTTATTTGTTTAGATGGGGATCATTAAAAAAGATGACCATTTAGATTTTTTGCTTACTGCTTTTGCAAATTTAAAAGGAACATTTAAATACATACCCTGGTTAATAGAGTGTACCCTATACTGGATATCCATTATTAAGGTACGTGTGAAAACAACGTTGATTTTTCTAATTAAAACAAAATAATTATATACAAAATAAATGAACACAGATGAAGAGAGATATACGTTTAATTCATTTTCTTATGTAAACTCTTTCGATGAAATGACGAGAAAATGACTGTGACTGCCATTGACTTACAATTATATGGACGTCGGGTCCGCGCTAAAAAGTGTCCGCACTTGTAAGGCGCTAAAATCGTATACAGAGCGCCAAACTCCGCTTTAGTCTTCATTTGTTCTACGGACAGCGCGATACTGCGATGACATTACAATTTAAATTTCGAATAGGTTGACTTGGGACATTTTTTTCGTGGTTTTTGTATTAGACCCGTCGTCCATTTATTTGTAAGTCAATGGTGACTGCAATAAATATAAATTTTTAAATATTATATTAAAGTTTTTTTCGAATGTTCAAAAAGTATCCGATATTTGGTTTGGTGGTATCCCTTAACGTTAAAAAAAATAAACATTTTTTTCCATATCTACCCTTATCTAACAAAAAAGAACCATCGAAATCGGTTCACAAATATCGGAGTAAACATTCTTCCTTTTTTTTTGAAGTCGTTTAAAAAATAACATATATCGAGTTTTAATCCTGCTAATTAACTATACTAACGTTAAAACTAAACCATATTACCATTGACTTACAATTATATGGACGTCGGGTCCGCGCTAAAAAGTGTCCGAACTTATAGGGCGTTAAAATCGTATACAGAGCGTCATTCACGCTCTAGTCTTCGTTTGTTCGACTGACAGCGAAGCAAGCAAAATTAGACAGTACTGCGATGACATTACAATTTAAATTCAACGTTTTAGCTGTTTCATATTCCTTTACATGTCACGTTTAAATAGGTTGACTTGGGACATTTTTTTCGTGGTTTTTGTATTAGACCCGTCGTCCATTTATTTGTAAGTCAATACATATTACATTTATTTGTGAAAGCACTGGCCGTACAGAAATTGACATATAACAAAACGCCACACACGTTTTTTTCTTCTTTGTATTATAATTTTATGCGGTTAACGAAATTATTTTTGTTCTTCGACAAATTAAAATAATCCAATAAAACGAAATTAATAAATAATAAATAAATAACGCACACACTCAACATAGCCCCGCACTAGGGAAACCCTGTGTCGCGGGTGCCATGGACACACACATAGACAACCACAAATTACACCCAAACTCACGAGAGAAATAATTGTAGGCCATACAACTATTTCTCCCGGCCCGGGAATCGAACCTGGGACCTCTGCGTGGCAGTCCGGCATGGTAACCGTTCGGCCACGGAGGCAGTTAAATTAGTGTTATCGTTGTCAATGTCAATAATAATAAGAATAAATTATACCAACGGATTAATATTAAATAAGTACTTAATGTACAAAGGACGAATCGCGTTTCGGAACGCGTCACAATTGTTTTATATATATATATTTTTAATTTATTAAGGCTTTGGCAAAGCCATCAGCCTAAACATGAAGTTTAATTATGTTTCTGTAAATTTGGCCGCCACAAAGAGGATAGGCAATTTGAGGCGGCGTGCTTGGACTGACTCAGGATTCCTTAAAACGGGCCGATATGGGTATTTTAGTTCGAGATTCGTATAATTTCGCGTTTTAATCTTCGATTAAGGCACAATAGCACTATCCTATTCCACTTTAAACTAGATTTCACAAAATAATTGAAAGTCAAAATAAAAACGACACTTTTCCCTGCAAAAGTTCCAGAGCTAATCACAATTGTTTTATACTCAAAAAAAAAGTTTATCTGCGGATGCGTTCCGAATTTGCATCTCATCAATTTTTAGTCGTCGTATAATTTTGTGTGATTATTGAAATTATTTTAGTTCTTCGACGAATTAAAATAATTTAATACATAAACAAAATTGGGTATCGTGGTCAGTTTAATATCAACCATAACAAGAATAAAATATACCAACGGATTTATGTTACATAAATAAGTAATGTACTACAAATCGCTTAATTGAACGTGCCATTTTCTTTTCATCGAAAGAAAAAGTTAGGTGCACTACAGTCCATCGTCAGAAAGAAAGAAAGCCTTTCCGAGCTAGTGAGGTGAAAATTATTATTTCAATGTGTTCCGCCAAACATTAATCATACAAATACACTTCAGCAGACTAAACAAAGTGTAACGTGTGTTTTTTATGAATAATAACATATGGGCGTGTACACGTGGATTAAATAAGTCGATCATTAGAGCATACTACACGGGAGTTAAACATTATTTCTGTGTTTAAAAATTACTTTAAGAAATGTTTTCATAATGTACCTAATCGTAATTCGTCCGATCCGGAGACAGGTCGGTTGGGGTTGTAATCCATCCACCTTACAGTCCCACAAAAATAAAGTAGAGATGCCCTGGAGACGTTTCACAAGGGTCAAGAAACAAGGACGTGGCGAGAAGCTTTTAATTTTTCTTATAATACTAAGCAACGGAACAAATCGTAGGCGAATGGTAGGCAATACATCTGTCCGTAACAGTGGCAGTGCCACTCAGAGCTTTAAATCACGAACAAACACAAGTTGACAAGTCCCATGTGTCTGTACTTTCACCAGCACCCTTACCCTTCAAAACCGGAACGCAGTAATGCTCACATTACTGTTTGGCGGCAGAAATAGGTAAAGTGGCAGTATTTCTCTGGACGGACTCTTTCACAAAGAGCTCTATTGCTACTAAATTTCTGCGAGGAGAGGATTTCAAAACTTGTTTCTCGAGATTGCCGAAGATTATGTGAAAATATAATACATATCTTTGATTAAAATTAGATCTTTGTATTAATAATT